TTGAAAAGGGAAGTCACAGAGAGCTTGTTTCTAAGCCTGATGGGTTTTATAAGCAATTGACAAGTCTTCAAGAAGAGGTGTGACTGAAGATCAATGAGGTTTTTTTTTGTGTGTGTGTGATTTTTTTTTTAACTTTACTAGAGGATATCCTGAGCTATGCTTTAGCTCTTTTCGCTATCCCAAAACCAATGATGAAATGAAATCTATTACTTGTTCTCTGCTTTTGCTCTTTCCGCTATCTTCCCATGCTCTAACGGTAGACAATCTCTTCTACTTTGATAAATCAGCTAACTTAACATCTAAATACCAAACAATGGAAGCTTAGTAACTTGCAGAAAACATTACAACCAGAAAGTAGTTGGCAAGTTCTTCCTCATACCCACAACTTCTTGATTGCAATCTACCCATATGCTAACTATTGAGATGACCTCAACCACTCTCTTTGAAATTACTGCTTCTTCTATCGTTGAATCACTTTTGTAGACTAAATGTAATCTGTTCTTGGTTAATATGGTCACAGATGACATAGCAAGTAACAGGAGGATGTGTTCAAGTCTCTGAAATCATCCTCACATGTTTGAAACATAATCCTCTGAATGTTAAAGTAGGACCGAGAAGAATACTTTGTCAAAGTTGATATACAGAAAAGAATGAAAGATGAAGTAAAGTCTAAAAGCTTTGCACCCTTTATTTTAACCCTTAGATTCATAGTTAGTAGCTCTTACACTCACATCTAATCCTTCGATCTCCTCCTTAGATTCATAGTTGGTAGCTCTTAGACTCACATCTAATCCTTCGATCTCCTCCACCGCTTGGGAGAGATAATAACGGTCATCAAAATCTCACAATGGCATTGGTTATGGGTTTAAACAAAAACAGGGAAAAGCAGGCAGATAAGTAAAACGAATACAGAAGAAAAAAAGAAAAAAAAACAACCGCCCGAGTTTTCTCACAAAACATGATGCAAAGAAGCAAGTAATTGAAATCTTAGGCTGATTATTGTTGGAGACCGCTTCTATTGGCAACAATACAAAGTCTTAACGTTTCGAACGCCGATTACGTCGTGACCTTCCGCACGGCGTAACACGAGTTGGAGAAGGTGCAACAACAGACGGCGTAACACAAGTTGGAGAAGGTGCAACATTTTGTGAGCTTTCGCTACAAGCAGAATTAGTATTGTCAACGCTCTGAGAGGTTCCGCTTTGCTCGATAGGCATTCCTCCCACTGAAAGGCTTGCCCAAAGCCATAATGAGGTAGCAAAGGTCAGTAGCACAGCTGATGCGTTTTGATGTTGTGCTAAGAGAACATTGTAATTCTCCGATTTCAGACTATGAAGAACCGTGATGAGGGAATCTTCTTGTGAGATGTCTCCCATGATTAGCATCACATTTGCTCGTTCAGGATTGTCAACCGCCCAGAAATAAACATCTACTAAAATCTGCTTATCTCTGGCATCTTTATTTTCTGAAAATATATATATCATCAACGCAGAGATCAAGATTGAGACAAACTTGCAGAAGAGAAAAGAGAGAGTTTCAAGGAATTTACCAGTAGGAAAGTGATACAACTTAATTCCGGTGGAGACCAAGTCATCTCTGGATTCACCATAAGCCCTGATTTCTACCGTACCATGATAACCCTTATTAGCAAGGGACGTTCGAATGTTCTTCGAAACCTCACCAGCACTGAGACCAACAGGGATCTTGCAATCCTCGATGTCCCAGAATACGACTGTCTTGGCCGCTGCGAGATTCGACACAACGGGAAAAAACACAGATCGATTAAGCAACTTACAAATACATATCTAGACACGAGGCAAAACAACAGATCTAACGCTTCTAAGATAAAAAAAAGATTAATCAGCCGAGATATATATTACCGGCGTACGAGGCAGGCATGGTTTCGACTGCTTGATCTCGAGAAAACAAAAAGAGAGAGGTTAAATTAAGGGTTTAGTTTAGAGATATGGCGGCTGATGAGATCCAAGTTGTCGAAAGGATAATACAATCCAGGATTTTCCAGGAAACTGATTTTCAATCGTTTAACGGTTAGATCTGTGTCATTGTAGCCGAGTAGTATTACAACGTCTAGATGTCTAAAGCGTTATAAAGAACTTCGTTGGATGTGGAAAACAAGGCTAGATCTCTGGTTGCTATCTCAGGGATGCTGTGAAGATGTAGCTCTTAGGTGTTCTCTGTGTATTTTCGTGTGTCCCCCTTCTCTCTAAGACGTGTCTATTTATAAGACTTGACCAAATCCTTCTCCGATTTGGATGAGACCTGACGCCGGGGTTTTTCTTCCTAATAATTGGGATTCTTGATACACTTGGGTCATTTACCTCTTCATATTCTCAAGTCCAGATAATGATGGACCTCGTTATAATCCCCACCGCCAAGTCCATCTGTAGTTATCTTAATAGACATGTTTTATTTTATATCCAATAAATTAACTAACCTTATAACGACGTCGTAACGGCGTTAACGACGTCGTAACGGCGCTAACGACTTCATGGCAAAGTGGTAARGAGGTCTCACTTGCTAGTGACAAGTAATTTCTCCATTTTACATGARWTACATGACGTATCGTCGGGTAATAGCAGGTTATCACTTGTTCCTACCTGACTTTATCTCACGTAGACGATCTTACGTCACGTATCAGCAAMCTACCACCTGACTTCCTTTATATAGGCAATCCCTTGCCAGGTACCGACAAGTTTTTACTTCGCTCTGCCTGACGTAGACGATGTATTGTCAGGTATAAGCAAGTTATGACCTCATTCTACCTGTGGTAGATGATGTATCGTCAGGTAAAGGCAAGCCATGACCTCGTTTTACCTGACGTAGATGATGTATTCCCAGGTAAAGGCAAGTTACGACCTCGCTTTACCTGACATAGATGATGTATTGGCAATATCTGACTTGGTTATGACAAGTCATTACCTTGTTTTACCAAGTAGTGAATTTATTTTCCCCAACAAAAATCTTACTCAAATTCTCTCAAGAAAGCTCTAAAACTCGGTAAAA